ATTTTGAGCGAAAAAAAATTTTTATATGCGCCTTTTAGTCGCAAAAATACGGTAACAATTAACTTACAAATTACTTACAAATTACAAATGCTTCACCTAAATTCTTATCAGACAAAAAGACTCATACCAATTTAATCACAGAGCTCAACAATAGTAATTACTATAAAAAAGCTCACTTTACACTAATAATTTTGATCATGATCTCATGGTTTAGAGCAAACTCAATTCCGCAATGGGGGAAAATTGTTTCATTATTAGCATACACTTTATACAAATTTAGCAAGGAATACAAAAGTACATAACATCATATAGACAGTATAGTGGTCATACAATATGCACAAACTCAAGCATAGTCAAATAAAATGATGCCATCACAAGTGTAAAACTCTTCCAAATTGTAATGTTCAACTATCAAGCATAGCTTACATTTTCCAAATGTCATGGATCTGTTCAAACGATCTCCGTTACATTTCTGTTTCCAACAATGCTCCTTAGTAAATACAATATTACCTCTTTGTCAGCTAATTAGATGGAATAGCAGCAAACCATGTAGTGGTCATATAGTGTATTACATCTGTAGAGGCTTAGAACTGTAATGGAAATTGAATGGGAAACTGCTTCTGCTCGTTAAGCTAAACAATTTGGTGCAGCCTGGGTTTGATTCCCAGCCAATGCAATTTTAATTCATTGCAGCCCCGTTGTAGGGCTCATAATTAAAATTTTCATCCAAAGCAGATGTGTTTATATTTATAAATATGTTCCTGTCAGACCCATTAAATTGCCGCTGAATTGCTGCGGTCTATCTCAGTCAGAGCCACGCAATTTATTGGTAAATTTATTTTCCTGCGTCAGCGAAATACTTTAAACCCTAAATAAATTAATTCATTAGATATCACTATGATTTGATATTGTCAAAAAAAATGTAACTCCAATGCACTCATTAAGGAATATTTAAGGCAATAATAAGGGTACACTGAAAAAAAAAAATTTTCTCCCCGTCGGGGAATTGAACCCCGGTCTCCCGCGTGACAGGCGGGGATACTCACCACTATACTAACGAGGAGGTGAAAACTTTATACCTGTTAGTGGAACCGTCGAATGGTGTATTGGAGCCAGACAACGCTGACGTCTGCTCGTGCATCGAGCTACCGCGCTAGACTGTGCACACTGTGCATGACACCAGAGAAGTACTGTACACATTAATAGCTGACATGGATGTAGGTGAAGTACTCAAAAAACAAAGAGGGGCAGTGATCAACGCTGTATAAAACTTTTGATTAATTAATGCGTCAATGACCATATAACAGTAGAGAAAACATTCTTTAATAAATGTTTATATATATTTTATATACATTCTAAAAAGAATAAAGCACTTCAACTACAGGTACAAAAAGATAAGGTTTTAATATTTATTCAAAGGGTAACAGAAGCAAATTTCCAAAAACATAAATCCACAAAAATACTGAAGACCAGGAATACTCACAACATGGGGGCAAAGAAATGATGACAAACCAGCAAAGAGTGACTGAACAGGAGGAGGATATATGGGAGAGAGAAACGAAACAAAGACAAAGCTAATTAGCAGATTGGGAGCAGGTGTGAACAGAGGCAAGAAGGGGGCTAGGTAAAAGGAGACTGACACAAGAGGGCAAACAAGAAATATCAAAGAACTCAAATACAATCAAAAACTAGAACACAAAATGGAAATAAGACTAATGAAAACGATATAAAACTTAAAAGGAACCAAAACCATGACAGCCTGGAAGTGCAGCGGGATGTACTGACAGCCACAGTCCACCAACAACTCACAAGGGATATACAGTAACTAAGGTTCAAACATTAAATACAAGAAAATTCACTAAATCTGATGTCAGTCCTTTTAGAAACCTTCGATTTAAATAAGGTCAAACTAATTCCACACAAATTTGTACCTGTCTATATTTTAAAAGAACGTACAAATTAGGACTGCGAAAGGACCTCCTTCAGGTCAAACTAATCAGAAAATGTTAGCAGCACCCTAAAGCAAATCAACCAGTAGACAGGAAAGCTGAAACAGGAAGGAAGAACAGGCTGTTGCTAAGCTAATTAAAGGAAAGATCTCTGTAGAGGAAATTAACATATAAAGTGATTCAAATATGCAGCTTAAATGTCAAATAAATAAATGCCAAATCAAATAAAGAGCAATTGATTGCTGCATTAGAAAACTGTTGTTAAATGGTTTATTTAACACCATTTAAATTGCAAACAAATGCTGCTTTATTCAAACTGAAAGCTCACAAATAAGCTGCATAAATTTTCAGCAACTCCAATGGTAAGCAGGTACAGTATATGCAGTCTAAGGCTACGTTCACAATGCAGGCATTGACGCTCAATTCCGATTTTGTTGTGAAATGTGATTTTTTTGCGTTGCCCTTCACATTTCCAAATATATGCGATTTGTATGTGATCTCCTGAGTGAACTGCAGTTTTTCAGCTTAAGTGTCCTGCATGCGCAGAAGAGGATGCAATGACGGCACAAGCCAGCCTGCTCTACGGAAATAAACATGGATGTGCTGGAGCACATTTAGCGATCTTTCAAAACCTTAAAACCTCAATCTTTTCAAGATGGTTAAAAAAAAATACTACTCTCCGCGTCATCGTCCGCCATGGTGTTTGTTTTTCTTGCTGCTTCTTCATAGCAAGACCCAGAATAGTGACCTTTGTCGGGTATTAACGGCATTAAGGTTGGATGAATGCGGCCTGGCAGTTCAAACACAGGTCGCATTTGAAAAGATCAGTTTCGTATCGGATTCAGGACCACATAGCCAAGTGGCCTGGGTCGCATTGGAGAAAATCGGATCTGTGTTGTTCAGTCTGCCTTGAAAAGATCAGATCCAGGTCGCATGTGGGGGGAAAAAATCGGATTTGGGTCACTTCAGGCTGTATGTGAACGTAACCTTAAAGTCAGTAACTGTTTGTCTGATTTGACTGACACGTTTTAAAATGGAAAGCAAGGGTGGAGCAGCAAAAACTAAAAGTATAACAATGGGCAAGCAGAAGAACATGAAATGAACTGGTCAGTTCATTGCTTATTCTGCAAAAAAGCAGCAGCAACATAAAGCAAATTATTTGCAGGGCTTAAAGAAAAACAAAATACTCTCCAGCTCATTAATTGTACTATTCAACCCCCAGTTTTTAGGTTGCAGCTATGATGAGTCGGCGAAAACTTTGTATCCTGATTCTGCAGAGTTGCTTGTTCACCAACACTGTTTTGGTCAGAAATGCTTGGGCTTTAAAAATGGGACAGGGGCTAAATTTATAACAAGATTTCAGAGGTAAAAAAAAAAAAAAAAACTGGTGGGATTTGAGTTTAATTACAGCTGGAAGCAAAACTTTATTTCCCGGACTCTGTGCTAAGAAAATGGAGCGAGATGCATCGGGATCAAACCTCTCTAAAACAAGATGTTTTTGGGACTCAGTATTTCATTTTAAAGAAACCATGTTTATGATGATCGTCATCATATATAAAGAATCCATGTATTTATTCTCTATATTTCATTACTATTAGCAAACTAGCGTTAGGAAACAAGTCTAAAGGTTGGATGACATAGCTGAAAACAATTTTAATTATTTAATAACATTCTAATCAGGTAACTACCAAATTGTCATAAACAGAGATTGTATTTTTTGGTTGGTATGTTTTCCAAAGGCTTTTACAAATATCCATCCCCCTTCAACCTGTTGCACATTTTCCTTGTTCCAACCATGAAATTATTAAAGTATTATGCAAGGTAGAATAAGTAAGGCACATATTTGTA